CTTGATATTCTCTAGGGACAGGCAGAACGATGTTCCCAAGAGTATTCGTTTTCCAGCATACATTAAGGCTCATGGATGTGACTGATTTTGGCACCCCACTCCCAGGGGCCACAGAGCACCAGCTGGTGTATTCAGGACCAGCTTGGCAGCTTCCCATCTGCCAAGCTCCTTGGGATTCTCACACATGGGGATCATAGCCAGACACCATCATAAAATCACCTGATTCCTTGCTTCCCGGGAAGTTCCAGGCTAGCAAAGCTTCCCATGCCTCCACTCTCCCAGCCCAAAGTCTTTTGATTTCCCTTCATCCACTCTTTTCCAAATATCGATTTAGAAATATTGATAGTGTGCTAAATCACCCAGTTATCATTTGTGTGGATTTTCCCCCTTTTTAAAAAAAAAAAACTAAAAACAATGTAAAATATAAAACAGGACAAGGGCTCTGGAGTAGGAGATAGAGAGGGGAGAGGAGAGTGAAATTTATATAGACTTTGCTGCCATGATTTAAAGGAAGAGGAGTTTATCTTGGCTTCTGTTTTGGAGCTCATTCTATGACTGACTGGCTGGATCCAAGGCATCATGGTGGAAGGCCATGGTGGAAAAAAGCTGCTCAACTCATGGCAGTCAAGAAGCAGAGAGAGAAAGAAAGAGCCAAGAATACCCATGGAAGCAAAAGAAAGGAAAGGGGATGAAAAAAGGAATTAAAATGTGCTCTGCATATGTACCAACTTCTCACAAAGAATATAAGCATAGGTACTATATACATGACCTAATATATCAAAAATTTTAAAAATAGACCAAAAAATACACCTTTCCAGGGTCCAGTGACTCATCTCTTCCAACCAGTTTCCACCTCCAAACACAAGAGACTTTGAGAGACATTTTAGAACTAACTCAAGCATCCCACAGGTGTGACTGCAGTACAAAAGGAAATCTCAATTATTATTAACACCTAAATGTTGAGTCTCTGAATCAAAACACATGAACAGCAGTACAAAACAGTGACAAACTTGCAGACGTCAAGATATGACTTGAGGCCATGGGACAACATGTGCAGAGCCCGCAGTCTGTGGGTTTGACCACTTAGCCCAGCCCCTCATCCTAAGAGTGGAGATGGAGGAACCCAGAGCCCAGCAATCATAGGACAAACCTGTGAGTGTCTGCAGTCTGAGAGTGCGCGCTTCCACCCCTAGGGCCATCCATGTTCCACACAAGACAGCAGGGATGATGAACAACTTAAAGCAGAAATGCTATCCAGTCCAGAACTTCTGAAGCTATGTTTCTCAGCGTAAGTGAGAACACAGCTCAATCTATTCTCAGTGTGACTCTGGGGAGCTGAGCCTACTGTAACTGCTGGTGGTGGGGCCAGCACCCAACGGAACTCTGAGGACTACAGTCCAAGTCCGGCTGCAGCCTGACTCCAAGTCCTTTTACAAGATGATCAGATGCACTTAAAAATGTGGTAATTAGCATCGTTTTGTCTCCCTGCCCCAGATCCCAGCCCTTTCTTGTACCGTGTTTCCCAGGAGCCCACAATGCCATGGCTTTCATCACCCGGACTACTTGAATCTAGCTGAGTACCAGAGCATCCCTGTCACTTCTGAATGGGCCTCTGAAGGAGGAGAATCTCCTGGTATCTTCATCCCTTCATCTTTAGATACACAGGACCAAAACTGTACAATGTTATCTCCTAGCTGAACAGAGGGAATGCAAACATCAAGAACAATGGCCATCAGTTAGTTAATTAATTAAAACAAAATAGTGCAATGAAGTCCTGAGACTAATGTACTATTACTTGTAGAAAAGGACATGGTTTCTATGCATGTTTACACCACTCTGCAAACTTTGCCTTGCAAATGAGTGATGGGAAACGTGAGATGGAAATTTCTTCAAACTGAGGGGGTGGTTTAGTGACACCAATTAACAGGGACTCTGGATTGACAGTGTGGGGACCCCTGTGTGAGCAGCTTAGACCTCAGTGAAGCCAATGATGAAGCTGATCCCGAGGCAGAAAGTGAGTGGGATTATTTGCTAACTAGGCAAGAAAAGCCAATGCTTAGTAAAGAAAAAAAATTAAAGGAAATCACCTGAGTGAAAAAATGTCTTGGCTTGAGCAACTTTCCTGATGATTATGATTAACACTGGGCAGCCGAGCCCTGCAATTCTCAGCAGCAGCTAAATCTCACACCTGTTCCTACTCATTAATCCTTAATGTCTGGGAGTATTTCCATAATTTTTTCCGCACATCAGTAATTAATTGTGTACTGTCCTCTGTGGAAGATAGCAGCAAGCATCCAGAAACCATAAGCAAGAAGGATGTCTATGTTGCATGAGGCAGGCCTGGGTCCTAAAATGCCCAGTACACAGAGGTCTACTGTGCCCCTCAGCCCCAGGAGGCCGGAGCTCTTCCTCTCCTGGCAAATGCATTGGAATTACAGGCTTGATGTTACGAGCAGAAAAATGGCATTCTTGTTATTTAATTTTTCTCCCTGAAATCCTAATCCACACTGACAGTAATCATAGTTAGGAGAATCTCCAAATTAATTGGGATTTGAGGGATTCAAATGACAGACTCAGTCTAGTAAATACTTATTAGCAAGATTATCGCAATTATACCCTATACAAAGTTGCAGACATTCACATCCACCTGGGGTGAGTTTTTTTTTTTTTTTTTTTAGAACAACACAGATACAATGGAAGTTATTCCTACAAGTCCCTCATAGCAATTACTCTGAACCACCCACTCCACTTTGAAGGTTTTCTTATTTTCTGTGTTGCTCTTAGGAATACAGATATACAGATGTAGATACCACCTGGGTAGGTGGGGTCAGTTCTGCCAGAGACCTGTGGTCTGTGTGATTGTCAGCACAGGCTGGGGCTCAGTGTCCCCGCAGCCTCTGTCCTCCCTGCATTTTCCTAATCTTTCTCTACCTGTAGCAGAAAAAATCAAGAAGCCAATCCCTCCGGAGGAAGTGGTTTTGGTTCCCACCGGGAGAGTTCCCACCAAGATGAAGCACCATTCTGAGAAAATGTGCTCTCTACTTTTGCCTCAGAACCAACATACGCCTCCTGCCTCCCTCACTGCAGGAGACAGCTGGCAGACAGCAGCGACCCACTGCTTGTCTGGGAAGCCATGAGGGCTGTGCCGTTGTCCTTGTCTTCACTATGTCCATGTGAGCCCGTCTCACAGATAAAGGCTCCACCTTCCTCTCAGCCACATCCTGGGACTCTGCTGCCAGGGGGCCTTTACAGGCTGTCTTTGGCCTCTGGGATGGATAGGCAGATGTGCTGGTCGGCACCCCTTCTCTGATTTGGCCACACCCACAGGCTCACCTTAGTTTGCCAAAATTCCCTTTTCCTTTGGTTCCCCTGTAACTCAACCTTATTGGTATGAAGATGTTGGGGATGAAACAGAAGGACCCTGAGATCTCACAAAGCCACGAAGCCACACTGCGTTGGTGCCAGTGGCCACAAGCAGTGCAGTGAGCAGACCCCCTAGTCACCCTCCCTGACCCCCAAGTCACCCTCCCTGTCTGCTATGAAGGGCACTGGCCTCGATCTCACCACAAACTGATCACAAAGATCCAGAGGTGAGCAGTGGCCTGATGGTTCGCATTTCTTTATTCATTTACTGCAAAGCCAGCTACCCAAACTTCGCAAAGCAAAATCTCCTAGTGCCCTAGTGCCCTCCTCTCCAAAATGCCCCTAAATTTAACGCGCCTGAGCTTGTCCCAAACAAGTGGCTGACCTGAGCGACCTGTGGACACTTGCACCCTCCCCCCACATATGACAGTTCTGTGACTTTGGACACTGCATCTCCTGAGCGCTCCTGTGTTTCAAGTGAGATGGCATCATGTGCCTTGGCTCCCTTCTGGGGTCCTCGGGGGAGCCCCAGAAACGGTATGCCATGGGACTTTGTAAATGTAAATTATGGCACTTGTAAGAATTCTTGTTTCTTAGCCCATTTACAAGGGCAGAGTTGAGATTTTACAATGAGTTAGAGGGAACACTGTAACAGTATCTCTTTGTACTAATTCTTCACACAAACGCTGTTCATCCTTTCTAGAGTACGAAGGGCTTGGGGGTCCTTGGCTGCTGCAGTGTTATCCTACCCTAGATTCACCTGCCTATGCAGTCCCTGCACGCCAGAGCAGCAACTGCAGCTGCTTTAAAGCCCTTGAGTGGCAACAGAGCTCACACCCCATAAACTCCCGGAGAAGGACATTTGGACAGGAAATTGTGTTTCAGGTGGAAACAGGAAGGCGTTATCCATTGCAGACTTCCCAAACGGGAGGCCCTCTTGCTATAGAAAGAATGGGAATGGGAAAAGAAGCCCTGGAAACTTCTCTCTGTCTCCAAATGGTCAGCACCTTAGAAGGCCACTTGGCCTTGAGTAGCAAAGGAGCAAGAGGACAGGGTGTGAGGAGAGTTGGGAGGCTAAAAGATCTTGATAGTCCCTCAGTCCAGCCCCGGCTGGACTTTGTTCCTGAACACTGGCCCTGGACTCAGCAGCCCCCAAGTGCTGGGGAGGAGGTCAGAGCACGAAGGACATCAACAGAGGCACAGTCGGGCATGGTGGGAGACATAAAGTCAAAGGGTGAAGAATGAAGGAAACAAATGATCAAGATGATACCCTGGCAAGCTCTGGCAGAAGCATCCCGCCACAGCAGACACCTAGAGATAGACGCATCACCTCATTCAATACAAACCACTGAGGCTTCTGCAGCTGAATGCAAGCAGCAGTGACAAGCTTCCCTGGCTTCCTCTGCCACCAAAACCCAGGTCCAGGTCGCTTGCCTGCACCATAAAAGAGCCTTTGACCTCCTCCCTGCGCTGAGGCCTCAGACTGCTACACACACAGAATACTTGTCTTTAAACATAATTCCACCCATGTCATCCCTCAGAAGAGCGGCCTAGGGATGGGACTCACCTCCCCAGTCCAATACAGGGCAAAACTAGGTAAAATAGAGAAGCAGAAAACGAAGACATCTGAGACTCACATTCTCTTCATGAACCGGAATCAGGAGAAAAGCCTGCAGGAGCCCGAGGCCTGAGGGATGCCCTTCTGGAGGCCTGCTGCGGATTACAGTTTGGTTCTGCAAGGTAAATAAGAGAAAATGATCCCACTCCAAAGTTGCAACTGGGGCTGACTTTATACATCAGTTCCGTTCCCCCACTCCCAACACTGGCCAGCCTGTAAAGGAATGTGGCTAACCAACCCCTGGAGCTAGGACTTTTAAGAAGCTATAAAGCCCAGAAAGGAGAAAACAAGGTGGAAAATCAGTTGATCTTGGAAAATCAGAAAGCAAGTCACAGTCCCCACAGAGTCACTATGGAGCAGGGACCCTGTGACACCACCAGGTTTAGGACAGGGAGTCCTGAGCAGATGGACAGAGGTGACCGCAAAACCACTGGCCTAGGAGGGCCAGAGGCAGAAGGAAAGAGAAGAAAAACAAAAACAGAAGCCTCCCACTCTAAAAAGAAGCCTGCAAAGCAAAATTGCAAAACAGAGGAAGAAATCTAATACCAAGAAAGACAGCCAACAAAATCAGCACGCCAAACACAAATGCGTCCCAGGAGGAAATTAAGTTTGGTGGAACCATCTGGCAAAACTTCTTAAAAATAGGTATTTGGTTGCCCAATGAGATACGTGAGTGACTTTCATTTTGAAAGTGTGAGAAATTTTAAACTAGCAAAAGAGAGAGGCAGAGAGAGAAAGAAAGAGGGAGAGAAGAAAGACAGATGTGGCGTTAGAGGCCTCATGGATAATGTATGCCTCACCTTACACAAACAGACTGAGGTCACGGGGACCCCTTGTGAATCAGTGCAGAGAAACTGGAGAGACGGAACTTATAAACAGGATATGGGCTGAGGGGACCCAAACATCCAAAAGGAATCTGCAAACAAGTAAATGGACAAAGGGTGAAGAGGCATCACTTGGAATTTAAAATCGCCCAGATTTGAAGAAAGGCAATCCTCAGATGGGAAGCACACTGCAAGCACCGATCAGGATAAATAACAGGAGAGCTACTCCCAGAATCACAGGCAAACTGCCCAACGTGAATAATGAAAATGCTTACTCCTCCTAGGGCAAGAAGACACATCATCTACAAAAACTACAGTTGGAATGACAGCGGAACTCATCAACAACCACAAATAATGGAAGGTGAGGGATCATCTCTTTAACTGAATGAGAAAAATTAGCAGCTCCCTATGTCCAATTTCATAAAAGAGTAAACTGTAACTCAGAGCTCAATTGGAAAAATATTTCAAGATACAGAAAAACTAAAAGGCATAAGTACATATACTCACTGAAAATATTAAAGGTTTATTTCAGGAAAAAACAATAAAGGTAAAGCTATAAACAAAGACAGATAGAATACTCCATGCATGATTAACATGTGTTCATGTTACATTTGTGCCAAACGAGTCACATAAATACTGTGTTAGAGAAATTTATTGTTAAGATAGAGGTTTCAAAGTTAATAGCAACAGGCTGGGCACGGTAGCACACTCCTGTAAGAGGAGCACTGAGGAGGCTGAGGCAGGAGGATCACTACGAGTTCAAAGGAAGGGTGGGCTTCAGAGTGAGTGCAAGGCTACCCTAAACTATACAGTGAGACTTTACCTCAACTCCCCCCAAATTAATAGCAATAGACAAAAGTTAGAGCTACAATATGCACCTTCCAAATCGGTAAAGATTAAAATGGGAGACTAGAAAATTTTCTCAGTTCACAGAAAAAAGAGAAATATTAAAGAAATAAGTTAATAAAAATAAAATTTAAATACATTGGTAAAAACATCAGGAATTACAATAAGTATAAAAGGACTGACCTTAAATTTAAAGATACAAGTTATTCCACATTAAAATATAATTCCTCCTCAATGATACTTGCAAGAGAACATTTAGAAAAAAAGATACTGCAAAGTAAAAAGATAGGAAAAATAACAAGCTTTTAAAACCAAGTCTATTACAGCTATTTTAATAGCAAGCAAAAAATAAATTAAGAAAAAATGGACAAGAAGGGATAGAAAGAGACAGAGTGGAATAAAATTACATTCATAAAAATAACTTCCAATTGGATTAGAGATCTTAAACAGTCTGACTTTTAAATTTTGGAAAATAACACAGAAAAATAGTTAAGTATCATTATGAGTAATGATTTCTTAAACTAGATAATGAAAAGTACAAACGGTAATTGAAATGTGTAACATTTTAACTAAATAAAAAGGTAAAACTTAACCTTATGTCAGAAACATCATAAGCAAATGTGAGCAAGTCAGAGATCATGTTGGCTCGCTCACTTGAAGAAACTACAGTGCTTAACTTAGAAGGGGCTGGGGATTTAGCTCAGTGGCATAAGCACCTGCCTGGTAAACATGAGACTGTGGGTTCAGTACCTGGTAATATCCCCCCAAAAAACAGTGCACACAAGGTACAAAGGATTAGAACCAGTGTGCACAAAATACCCCAACTGCTCTGTAAGAAGGCGCACAGCAAAGACACACTTGAAAAGCAGAGAAATAATTGCCGTATGAGACTAAACATTATTACCAAGCTAAATGGTCTACCACTTAGCAATGAGATTCGCAAATAGACAACGGACAGTAATTTGTTGGAAGATGTGCATCTCATTCAACCCAGCAATTTCACTTACAGGACTATTTGCTAAAACAGTGCCAGTCTATGCATGACAGACAGGCTACCCACAAAAGTGTTCTCAGCAAGGCAGGAGTGTAGCTCAGTGACAAAGCATTGTTTAATATGCTTCAAAGACAAACAACAAAATTTTAAATCTGAAAAACAATAGTGTACATTGTTTATGACTTCGTGAAATGTAAATGGGAGTGGAAAGCCTGAGTCTGAGTACTGGGCATGAAGGCTATGGGATGGTCATCTCTGAGCTGGGAGCAGGAAGTCAGAGTTCAAGAATATCTACAAAGATGAATTGCTTTAAAAAGAGGAAATTAGGGCAAAATGTCCAAATCTAATGAAGCTTGCGTGCCACCAACCATTTAGTGGCTCATTCCATTGCTTAGATTATCACTGCTCTGAGCATACAGGTGAAAACCCTATACTTGACCTGCGTCAGCCACTGGATTCCCAGCTCTTTCCTCTCAGACCATTGGTCCCTTAGTCTGCCTGCCTCAGGGCCTTTGTGCCATCTGTGCCTTTCTCTCTTAAAAAATCCCTTGCCTTTCCCTCTCCAGGCTGACTTATACTCCACTGGAAAGCACAAATATCACCTTGCAGGAACAGTTTTTGCTACTCATCCACCATAGAACAAGGTAGATTCCCCAATACAAATTCTCACCCTTTGTGAACTTCTCCCTTATCTTCTTTAGAAACATTAAAATTAATTACTTGCATGTTTTAATATTGCTCTGTAAATTGTATGAATATTAAGAAAATGCCTGTTCTGTTCATTACTGAATGGGGTACAAAGCTGGACATGCGGGCCAGGTAGAATGTACAGGAAGAGAAGAAGAGAGGGAAGGAAGGGAAGAGAGAGTGGGCAGAAGGGGAGACAAAGGGAGAGAAGGGGAGGAGGAAGGGAGGAGCAGTGGTCTGGTCATAGGGAATTGGTTGCTGGGGATGGTGAACTCTTTAAGCGGGAAAAGAGAAGAGGAGGAGGAGAAGCAGAGACAAACCAAGATTGTACCCAAGATAACATCAACTTCTTAAAATCTATACTGAAGACGGCTCCGGGGCTGGTTTCTATTGGCCTGCATTCAAGTTTCCGGTGTTCTGTTATCTACAATTACTGATCTGTAATTATATATTTCCACCAGGAGCCCCGTTGCAGGAAGTCATGATTAAGGGTTCCTGCTAAATAAGCCCCTTGTGTATTAGTCATTATTTTAACGCTCATTTTAACAACATATTCAATAGTGCGTCCATACATTCAAAATGGGGAAAGGAGTTCCCGTGTTCTATGCTAACACCAGGCATTAGTTCAGCGAATGCAACAATTAATTAAAATGTGTCCAACAGTTTTCAAAAATCGGATCCACTGAAACATACCCACCAGCACCCTCCTTCACCAACCCTCACGGTCACTTTTATACACATATAGCAACTAACACATTACGAATTCAGTAAATACCAAGTATAAGGTAAAGCTAAAAAACAAAGCTATTCTTAAAGGCTTTAAAAATCAATTTTCTATTTTGAAGTGAGGTGAGGAAGGCAGTGATGACAAACATTGACAAAGAAAGGTAGCTGACACTGAGGGTGCCTGTATGTGTGACAGGCGTTAAATTAAATGCTCACATGAACTTAATCCTTAAGAAACCAGATGAAATGGGAATTTTGTTCCTTCATTTTATAAGTGAGAAAGTGTGGCATTCTTTCCCCAAATTTATCTAACTTTAGAGCCTACAGCCCTCATGTGGCCAGCATTCTTACCTACCTTACCGCCAACCCTCTAAACCGTTCACACACGTGCTACAATACATGCTGCAAGTCACAAATACAACCCCCTCAAAAAAAAAAAAGCTCAGTTTTACAAATGATCTTGGAAACTGGATGTGAAAAACTTCCATTCAGATGTTTCAAAACAGAACATGCCTAGTCTAAGCAGATCTGCATACTGAATTTCCCAGGTTGTGGAATGATGGGTCTAATTTCTCTCTCCATGTTTTAACTCTGAGCAGATGGCCATACAAGTGCTTAGCCCAGTTGGTTGGTATCTGTAATCCAGTCAACTCAAAGTCCCAACAGATGTTCAAGCCTGAACACCATGAGTTCATAACATTGACAGTTTTCCACTCCCAATTTTTTGAAAATTGCAAAGCACAATACCCAAAATTCATTCATTTTAAAATAAGTAGAGTTGATGTTTTCATGTAATAACACTTTAAATAATGCATTTCCAGTTACAGGCACCACATGGATTAAAAAAATGCAAAGATACAGAAATCACCTCTGAAAAGAGAGGCTAGTTTTATACATTTTCTGTGAGCATCTAAAAGCCATCCAGAAAGAAATCGCTGTTTCCCTGCTTTTGGTAAGAGTTCAATGCCTAATTGATTCCTGCATGTCTAGAATTCTCAAAAAAACTTCATGACCATAAAATATCTAATTTGAAAGGCATTCAGAGATCAGTTGAGTTTAAAAAATAAGGCAGGTCTCTGTCCTTGTCTACCAAAACAGAATTTTACAAGAGAAGGAGAATTTTCTTCTTTCCTTAAATAGAATTAAAGCCAATGAAAAATGGTACTAAACTTGGGAAAAAAATAATACAATTAAATGAAAACAAAATTAAATTACTTCCATGATTTTTTAAGTGTAGCTATTCTCCTTGTTTACTTTCTCTCCTCAGACCACTATGAAAAGAAACCCAAACTTTTATTTGGGAAAGGAGGCAAAGGGACCATAGATACCACCTTGAAGCCTCTGATCTCAGATCTTGCAAGCCAAAAGG